GTAGAAATTGATGAACTGGATGAACTAAATTTCATGAATTCAGTTAATGTTTTAACAAGCGATTATAGAAACGAAATAACTGTATCATTTCCGCTCAATCATATTCGAGTCTTGTATACAAGTGAGCTTTAATAATTCTTATCCACCTGAAGAAGTTTTGTTATATGTACTGTAGAAATCCAGAAAAAAATAATTTTCAACGCAGATCTTTTTCGATTCATAACCATCGTTCCTTGCTCAAGCCTATGATGATCGTCTCAACGACGGGTTACATCAAATCAGTCCTCGGACCGTTTCTATCTGACTCGTCTAACAATGATGCTAATATCTTAAAACATGTGTTTTTAAGTGATATGGAAGATGTTTTGCAATGGGTTCAAGAAGTATGTTAAACTTGCCCTAACTAATCATTCACTTTTCAACAAGCACATGTTTTGTTCAGAATGATGTGTTAGTTGTGGACCGTGGCTTCTGTAATTGTTTAGGTGTGATGAAAAGGTTTGGGATAGATGTGGCTATGCCGCCATTTTTGGATGGAAAAAAGCAATTTGATGTAGGTGATGCAAACCGCTCAAGATTAATAACTAAAGTTAGATGGATACAGGAAAGTGTGAATCATTCACACTTTCCACTATCTTGAACAGATAAAATACGTGTTCTTACTCAGCTCGACGAGCTCTATCTAACCTCGTATAAATATCGCAAAAGTAAATTGCGCTCGAATTTTAAATTTCCGGCACCTAACTAAAATCCAGTCAAATATATCTTTTACATAACGCCAAAAATTGTTTAAAGTTTTATCAAATGAATCATCCAAGAGAGAAACTAAAATTTATTTTGAAAAATAAACAGTTTAAATAACACTTTTAGTGTAAAAAAACAAATTTAAATAGACTCCCTCCAACAGAAAAGCGTTATTTGTGTACAACGATGTACAGTTACACAAATACGGCTTTTTTCTTATGGAAAATGCAGTTAAACTTATTTATTACAAATATGTATTTAAATACACTTTTCCCCTTCGAGAATGAAAAAAATTAATTTTTCATACAGCTACCATTCCTTGAGTTAAATTTTGATCGAATAATCGAAAGAGAGAAAAGCGTCTGAAATTATTTCAGCCGAGTTTAGTGTGGCTCTCCATTTTTCGGATCAAATATTTGATTTTAAACTAGATCACACATGCGGCTATCTGAAATCAATTATCTTCCACGGGATCTCTTAATTTAAGCTATTTCCATAATACATCACTTATTATTTGTATCCATACTCCATGTTTACTACAATCAATTGTCTATGAATACATCAATGTTTACGAAATCGCTTCACTTTTTCATTATTCCTATTCAAACATACGGGTCAATGAACGTACAATCTAGATTTTTAGAAATGCGAAACCCTTAAAATAAACATGAAATTTTTATAACGACAGTTCTTACCTGTATCTAGAAATTTGTTGATGGTGATATAATTGTAATTAAGGAAAACTTGTATCAATCAAGCAAATATTTTAGCTAACTATAAAACTTTTATCTACAACGCAGTATGACGTGTCGTTTATATAATGTCAATTTCAATGATATAGACAAAAAAGTTTTTATATTGGGTTTTTTCTCATGTTATCAATCTGTAAACACAAGATAAAACGCAAAACTAATGTGTCATAATTTATATTCAAAACATAGAGATGACTATAAAGCTTTTTCGAAAAGTTGAAAGAATGTCTTTCTAAGTGCAACTGAAATTCATAACACCCAACTGTCATCCATCGATCATATTCTTCGTTTTATTCAATCTACATATTTATGTGTACAAACAAGAAGAAAATACAGCATAGCTTTGAATAGATATTCTGCTTTTTTCTTATTCTCTCTCATGAATGTTAGATCAATTAACACTTTGTTTTGGAATCGGATTCCAGCAATAATTTTAGATTTACTGTTGCAAGATCCTTCGTCAACAATAAGTTGCTGCCTAGAACTGAACCGCCGGATAGATAGGAATATGATACCCATCTTCAATTGATTTTGCATAAAAATTTAATTTTTTTCATTCTCGAAGGGGAAAAGTGTATTTAAATACATATTTGTAATAAATAAGTTTAACTGCATTTTCCATAAGAAAAAAGCGAAGCGAATGAAAAAGTGAAGCGATTTCGTAAACATTGATGTATTCATAGACAATTGATTGTAGTAAACATGGAGTATGGA